CAGAAAAGGCCATTGTGAAGACCAAAGGTATCCTGTTCAGGTCGTTTGTGAAAATGGACAGAGCTTTGAGGCAGACCATGTGATTGTCACCGTTTCTCTCGGGGTTCTCAAAGACAAAGCCTCAACCATGTTTGAACCGCCTTTACCATCAACAAAGCTGTCTGCGATTGAGAATCTCGGCTTTGGGATAGTAGATAAAATATTCTTGTTTTTTGAGAAGAGTTTCTGGCAAGATGACTGTGCCGGGGTGCAGGTGGTGTGGAAAGAGGGGCCTGAAGATAAAGATGTTTATGAGTCTCTGTCTGAAGGAGAAGCCTGGAAGAAGACGTGGTTCAAGAAGATCACTGGTTTTGATACAGTGGCCCGTCATCCCACGGCTCTGTGTGGCTGGATCACAGGTAGAGAAGCACTGTATATGGAGAATCTTCAGGACAGTGAAATACGAGACACCTGTTTGAGGTATGGTAACATAAATGATGTAATATATGACATGCGATCATTTGCCCATGTTGCAATCAAAATTATTCATCCCCTCGACCTGCAAGACATTCTGCTTTAGTGTACAAAAGTTTATGAAAAAATTTAACCAATGCATTGGTAAACTGTTATAGAAAGGTGTTCACATTATTTTGACCAACCTCTGTACATATATAATAATGTGAACACCCATTGTCCCATTATTTTAGGGGTTCATATGGTTTAGGTAGGCTACAGTGAAACAACAAACATTGCAATTATCTTGTATTATGTCATTGTCTATATTCTATAGTTTGTATGCTAGTGTTAGGTGTGTTCAGCAGTAGTTAGTAAGTGCTGAGTGAAATGGGTGACATGTCAGATTTCCAAAAAATGGCAAGTCATGGGAACCCGTTTAGGAGGATCATCTATAACCTTAGCCCAATTAGCCCTATTATTTGGTGTTTTAAAAACAACAGTCTTTACAATTATAACTGCATTTAAAAACAATGACATGACTTCATCAGCGAAGAAGAATAGTGGGCAAAAACCAAACGTGAATAATAGGGAAGGTGGAACACTAAGTGACAGCAAATGCCCATATTCACACCGAATAACCCGTTTCCACAAAACCAACCACAGAGAACTTCACACAGCCAACATCCATGAAAGGACTGTAATTGTTAAAATAAATTCCATCACAGACACCAATGATTAAATGTGAAAAAGTTTATGATCATTAAAATATGGAGAGTTGGAGCACCAAGTGTGAGAAGCATGTGTTGAAACGTGTTGGCCAAAATATATGGTTATCGGTAAATAGCAGTAATAATCTGAAAATGCTGACAAATTCTGTTTATGTCTTTGAAGGTTGCTCAGGTCTTTCACAGGTTGGTCAGTGCCAGAGGTCTCAAAGACGCTGATCTCCAGATGGGGTTCTGATTCTCACGTCTGTGGCTCCTACACATTTATTCCTGATGGTGTTGATGGTGTGAAAGCACACAAGGCATTAGCATCACCTCTTCCTCCTAAAGATGAATCCAGAGGGACGAAGGTAACCTCCTAATAACTTGTTTAATTGTTTGAATATATGTATATAGGGAAGTCGTGGCCTAATGGTTAGAGAGTTGGACTCATAACCCAAAGGTTGTGGGTTCGAGTCTCGTACCGGCAGGGATTGTAGGTGGGGGGAGTGACATTTAATTTTTATCTATATAGTACAAAATATAAGGAATTTTTAGTAGAATTGGATATCTATTTTGTTTTTCATAACTTATGATTATTACAAATAAACAGCTATATATTAACCAGTGTTATTTTACTATTATTTATATATTATTGCATTTATTAATATTAATATTTTTTTATTTTCTTTTTATATTTTTTAATTTATATTTATTTTAATAATTTCTTTTGTATTTGTATATATTCTGTTTAGCTTTATTTTTATTACTTAAGTTTTATTACTTTTAGTACTTCAACTGATTTTATAGCAATTAGCTGCCAAGGTGACATTTCTAAATTTTCATTTTAAGTTTTTCTTTTAACTTTTATTTATTTTATTTCAGTTTTTTTTACAGTGAATGAAAAATATTACTGTTTTAGTTTTAACAATAAAAACACTGATATCCACATTTCTGATTTAAATTGCAATAGTGGAAAAAGACAGTTTCGAGCAGTGATGAAGTTAATAACAAACTGATTGTATTTCTCTTTGTTTTTGAAGCACCTTCAGGTGTTGTTTGCTGGTGAAGCTACACATGAGAACTTCTACACCACGACCCATGGAGCGTATCTCACAGGGGTCAGAGAAGCAGAACGTCTCATAAGCTATTACGCTGATTGAGCATGAGGTCCCAAAGAGAGAACAACATATACTGGTTTCATAAAGATAACATTTTATGAATGTGTAACATTTCATAGACTTCCTCTCACACCCTACAGACTTACACAAGTTTGGTGTTTGAATGACCCTTAGGTAGTTTACAGCTGCCTGACAAACATCATTAACTGTGAGTGTTAACATCCAGCTTGTCACAGTACCTAACCATACATATATCTATCCTGTTAATTGTTAAACATCTCTGTGTTGTATGTGTAGTACTGATGGAGAAATATTCTTTCCCAATCTCCAAGGAAAGTTAAATAATATTTTCTAAAAATTAAAGATTCATTGAAGTAAATTAATTAAATGAAGTAAACCAGTGGTTCTTAATCTGTAATATGCATACAGTGCCCTCAGGTGGTATGCAGCATCACCCATGACAATTTAATATTGATCAACATAAAATGTAAAGTACTTTTGATTTTGTTCACAGTTGTCTGCAATGACACAGTGGCTTAATTTAAATGAACTTTTTATCTGGGAATATCTATATTCGATCATTTCAATGAATAAACTACTGCCAATCAAACGTTTGGACATTCTTTCTCATTCCTTATTATTACTATTTTCTTTATTTATTATTATTTATCATAATAGAAAAGTCATTAAAACTATGAAATAACCATAGACTGTAAAAAACATGGACGTAGTGTCCATGACGTCACTCGTAGGGTTCAGAAGAGCATTTTTGAAGCCTAAAGTGGGCGGAGCTGTCCGCCGCCATCTTGGCAGCGCGTCACCGCACGTCACTCCCGGATAATCGAAAATGGGCAAAAAGGCGGGACGTGGGTGAAGCTGAGACGCTAGTTGCTGAAACCATGCCCGTCTATGGTGACAGCAGTGCTGCCGTGCAACGACAAAACACCATAACTTCGTTTTTGGTCGAAATGAGTTATTGATAATTTTGGCACATAAATTACCTCCTTTATCATGTGTATAAGTATCTTGGAGAAAAGCCCTGGAGAAACCAAGGCAGAACACAGTATCATCAATTACCACTCTTTGACTTTGTTTTAGATCGCTCAAATTAAGTTACGGCGCTCTGCATTTGTTTAGCCGTTCGTCAATATTACTGTGCCAGCCTGGAGTTATACGGCATTCTGCACTTCTTTAGACAAACAAATTAGATAGATCGCGATCTAACAAACTGCTCCATATAACAAAGCACTGTAAACAAGCAACGACTAGATAACTTGGCAACAATAATTAATCGTAAATAATCTTTAAAGTTTTTGTTTTTTCTTTTTATAATGCAGATGCCAGATGTCAGTCTAGGGCTGCCCACTTCTGCACGTGTGAGGTGTCGAATGCCATGACAGCGTATCACATAAAATCAGTTACTGTACGCAATTAAATCCGTTTCATACCTTTTCTTGTAACTCGATAAAAAACATTGCAATGAACGTCATCGGAGATGTTTAATTCACAATCATTCTGAGCATTATTCCTGCTGGCGTTCACATCAATCCACAAGTTGTTCTAAGGTTAAGCTATTTTCATTCAGTTCGATGTAAAAACAATAGGCTAAGTATGTCTTGCATCCTTTAATGTTAGCGAACATTGCAATAAATTGGTTGCAAAACGGTATCCACTCAAGTTTAACTTTTTGTCTGGTTGTTACGGTCAGAATTTTTTTTTTTTATTACATTACTATATGTTATAGCCTAGCCAATGATCACTAGATTTTAGATGTTATGTGAGGATTTGCAGCGCGTTTCTTCATTTGCATGTGTTGTGAGGATTTGCAGCGCGTGTGTTGTCAAACTGATGAAGATGTTTTCTTAATTTGCTGGTGTTTTTTCAATTTGCATGTGTTTTCTTAAGTTGCAGCGCGTTGAGCTCTCTCGGCCACCGTAGCCTTTTGCCTTTGCGTGACATCTCACTTTTTGCAGACAGTGCAAAGGCAGAGTACCTACAATAACTTCAAAACAGCGGTAAAAATCAAGTTTGAGATAATTTTCATTAAAACATCGAATTGCCAGATTTCCAGTGTCCTACCCATAATTAATTTTTTCTGGACAAATAAAAATCTTTAAAGCCATTTTTCTAAGTTTCACAGTCTAGCGAGTTTCACACTCTGGAGCAGAGCGGCAGTCCGCCTGTCACTCAAGTGGCCCCGCCCTTAATTATGCAGAACTTTAAGGCTTAATATAATTTAAACGGATGAGTTATAAAAAAAAATTCACGCCCCTCACAGTTGTCAGGAAGGGCAAAATTACCTATATAGACCAAAAGCACTTTTTGTACCAGGCTGTTTTCTGCTGTAAAGTTGGGCATTTTAACATGGGGAGTCTATGGGACTGACTCCCTTTTGGAGCCAGCCTCTAGCGGTCAGTCGATGAATTGCAGTTTTAGTCACTTCCGTATTGGTTTCAAGCGAGAGACCGGGAGGTTGCCGCTTGGAAATAACACATTGGGGACTGGGGAATATGTAATAACCAATGAAAATGAAACAAATTAAAGCTCTTATATTTGAGTTTTAACCAGCAGGCGTCACCAGTAGCGCAAATTTAAGTCTTGTAAATAAATGTATACATACACACAATTTATATTAGCCAACAACATGCATTTAAAGACATTTAGATTAAAAAAAATCTAATCTCACGAGAAACAAATGCAGTTCTATTGAATACTCTTATTATGAAAAATCACGTACTTCCGGGGTTTTTATTATTCTCTTTCGGCCGCTTGCTTCACACTGCTGCAGACACCGGTGATTCGGGAATAAGATCAGGGGAGAACTGGAGGAGTAATAAAGAATATTTAACAAAAGGTGAGACAATAAACACACTGTATCGTAATAAATGTGCTAATGTTACTTACATTTATCTCTGTGAATCACTTGTGGATTTCGATCAAAAGTTTTCTGATTGGAATGCAGTAATTAGCCGGATGATCCAACAGCTTGTGTCTGCAGTCTCACATTTAACATTCACTATCAATCGAAAATGAGTTAAACTCATTTCGGTTTGGATCCAAATGTAAACTGAGCTGTTATACTAAACTGACGAGTCTCGTACTAGTTTGCAGCTTTAGCTTTCCACAACTAACGTTAACCTGAGCTGATCTCATTACACACACTACTAAAACTTATCAGACATCAGGGCAACTTGCAAAGAAGGTATTGTTTTTGTAATCTGTGTTTTATATATTTGTATTTTCATGAGAACTAAGCACGTGTATTGTATAGAAAATACGTTTACTAGTGTATATAGTATACGTTGTTAAATGTCTACGACGTAATTGTACTGTTTGAGTTGCCTTTATACTGTATATATTGTAGTATGTGCTATTACAGTGATAAGAATCAAAATGAGAACTGAAATAAGTAATGAATTCAAGAATAATGATAATTATTGTTTTTTTTAAATCATAAATGATTAGAGATGCGACTTACATCAAAAATGGCATGAGAAAGTCGCTCCGCCTTCTGTAAACACCTACGTGTTCATTTCCAATAGCACCGGAGTTGAGACCTCTTCCCTTTCTTTTTCACTCTCTTGTCATCACTTACTAGGTATCTTCATTGAGGATGATCATCACTCTCCTGTAAGCAGTTCTCCAACCTTGAAAAGCTTAAGATCTGCAGTCTGCACCAACAACAGCCTTCAACAATGGAGATGTTCCAGAATCGTCAGAGACCTTCTAGGAAGTTGTTTCCGTTTGCTTTCATCGCAGTATGGCTTTTCGTTACCATTTCCTCTGATGAAGATTACTACAAGCTGCTAGGTATTTCAAGAGAGGCCAGTACTCGTGAGATTCGGCAGGCTTTCAAAAAGCTTGCTCTCACAATGCATCCGGATAAAAACCCGGTGAGTAGCTTTATTATGGCATAGCAGCCAGACATATGTGTCTTCCTTCATTTGTGACACTGAGAACGCTGATACTGTCTTTGTAGAATGATGCAACGGCCCACGAGAAGTTCTTGAAGATCAATCGGGCCTACGAGGTGTTAAAGGATGAGGACTTGAGGAAGAAATATGACAAGTATGGAGAGAAGGGCCTGCAAGATGAACAGCAAGGAGGAAGATATGAAAGCTGGAACTATTACAGATATGATTTTGGTAATTCTATTCTCTATGCTATGATATGTTTGGATATTATTTCACGGTACAACACAGAATAAGTAGGAAGATATGTCGTACTTATCTTTATGCTGGAGAAAAACCATGCAACTGTGTTTTTCAGGAATTTATGATGATGATCCAGAAATTACTACACTAGACAGAGGGGACTTTGGTAAGTGATGATCTTAAATCATTCAGATTATGAGTTTATTTTGGATTTCTACACAAACTGAAAAAGCATTTTGTATGCCGGATTGAATCTAACAAAAACATATTCAGGTCATATTATACCCCAAAATCAAGACAAAAATGAAATTATATTTTGCATAAAGTAAATTAAATTTTTTGCATTGTTACATTATTTTCATGACAAGCACATTTTCCTCTAAATTTTCCAAATTATGATTTCAGGCATTTACTGTTTAATTTAATTAAAATGTTTTTTGTTTTTTTTGCTATTTTATTTACTGTCATTAGCAATTTTCATTAGATTATCATCATTATAACAGAGAAACCTTTTACTGTACAGAAGCAAAAAAAATAATTTAGCAAAAATTAAACCGCATAATAAACATGATTGTATAAACATAATTGTACTTTATAAATAGTTCTATGATTCTAATAATAGATCTAATCATTCTATAATAGTGTAAAAAATATAATACTCTGATATTAATAATACTCTGTAATATTTTTTTTTACATGGCTTTAAGGAGTTTGAGATTTTTTTTGTTACTTGATGATGGCAACTGGAGGGGAAATCTGCTTAATATTTCTAAAAATAACGCAAGAAAATACTAAAAGGCTAAAAGTTTTCTTTATGCCAAATTTATTTTATTCTTTTTATTTTTTTGTTTTTACATTTGGAGTGAGATATGACCTGAACATTTCTTGTCAGGTTTCTTTAATCCCACCAATCGTGTCTTTTTAGCTGATCTTGTAGTATTCAAATGGAGGACTAACCTGTTTTTTTCCAATGGTGGAGTGTTGTGACACCAGTTTTGTCTTTTTCCACAGATGCAGCTGTAAATTCTGGCGAGGTCTGGTTTGTGAATTTCTATTTCCCACGCTGCTCGCACTGTCACGATCTTGCCCCCACGGTACGTAACCGTTTTCTCCTTCTCTTAGTCACTTCCTCCTCACACCAGTTAGGATTGTTAAAGTTACCGTAAGTTATTTGACTGAAATGTGATGCACCCCACAGTGGCGGGAGTTTGCTAACGAAATGGACGGTGTGATTCGAATCGGCGCTGTGAACTGCGGTGATAATGGCATGTTGTGCCGTAGTAAAGGCATCAACAGCTACCCCAGCCTCTATGTGTTCAGAGCGGGAATGGTGAGAACGTTCTGCCTTTATCAGCATATGATACATAATGTATGTTTAATGGCTGTAGTGATCCTAAAATATAAATGTAATCATGCCAACAGAAGCCAGAGAAATACTATAGCGACAGAACAAAATCAAGCCTGACCACATTTGCTATGCAGTTTGTGAAGAGCAAAGTAACAGAACTATGGCAAGGTATTCAATTTTGGCATTACCATTTACATTTTATTTTCTTTCAATGAAATTTAAAATATTTTTTTAGTTCATGCAACTGCTGTCATTAAAGCAAAAGGTAGCTGTACTAAAAAAGAAATTAATGCTAATTAATAAAAAAAGAAAAGAAAAATGGTGTATTTATTAAGGGAAATACTTATCTGCCACTACTTATTCATTTTGTGTTATTTGGTGTAACGATAACTTTTTAGATTCTTTTGTAACATTTGTAAATATTATTAGGTGTTTACTAACGATTCATCTCTAAATAATTTTTTTAAAAACTTTTTTCATTAAAGGGGTCATATGATGCGATTTCAAGTTTTCCTTTGCAAAAAAAATTTGTAACGTATTTATACAAAATATTAATATAATATAAAATTATAAAGTATTTTATGTTGTACTGTCTTTGTTGAAAATTGTATGTAAACATTTTTTTCCATATTTTTTTTAGGGAACATTTTTAATGAGATTGATCGAGCATTTGCAGAAAGAATCGGCTGGTTGATATCTTTCTGCGCTGACACTGGGGGTGAGACAACTACTAAAGCTTAATGTTAGAATTGCAAACCCATAATCACTCTTGATTTATTCTAAAAAGCCTTTTTTTTTTTTTTTTACAGATTGTCTGGAACCTCAAACAAGGCTGAAGCTTGCTGGAATGTTGGTAAGCATTAAGATGATCATGTTTCACCAAATTCAATTTCAGTGTCACATGTCTCAAAGCATTTAAAAACAGATTGTCTTGTGAGCAAGAATGAACATTGTAACCTATCCTCCACTTGTTTCTCTTTACAGGATGGTCTGGTTAATGTAGGATGGATGGATTGCTCCAAACAGGCAGATCAGTGTGACAGCTTTGAGATCACCACTAGCACTACTGTCCTCTTTCCCCCTGGCAGTTCCCTTGCTCAGAAAGGCAGCGTAATGGTAGGGACCTTATATATCAATATGCATCCTGTCCAGTTGTTGAAGGAATAGTTCACCCAAAAATGAAAATTTGCTGAAAATGTACTTTCCTTCAGGCCATCCAAGGATGTAGATGAGTTTTTTTCATCCGAACAGATTTGGAGAAATTTAGTATCACATCACTTGCTCATCAATGCATCTTCTGCAGTGAATGGGTGCCGTCAGAATGAGAGTCCAAACAGCTGATAAAAACATCACAATAATCCAAGTAATCCACACGGCTCCAGTCCATCAATTAACATCTTGTGAAGTAAAAAGCTGCATGTTTGTGAGAAACAAATGCTGAAAACTCTCTTTTTAGTAATGCTAATTTTCTCCAAATTTGTTCCAATGAAGAAACAAACTCGTACATCTTGGATGGCCTCGGGGTGAGTAAATTCTCAGCAATTTTTTGGGGGGGTTGAGTTATTCTTTTAAATGTGCTAATCTAATAGGCTGGTTTTCATTTTGATTTTATTAACCTTGCAGTTTATCCAGAGTTTGGATACTAAAGAAATATATGCACAAGTGTTGCAGCATCTGCCTGACTTGGAGATTCTTACAAAGAGCAGCTTTGAGGTAAGACTCCAAGTGACTTTATCATGAACATCATATGTTTGCCCTCATCCTGGACCACACCCGGCACTTCCTGCAGAACCACTGTTTACACAGTAACTGACATGCTGCATAAAATATGATTGCGTGGCATAAAATGTCATTAAAGATATCCTACTTATTTTTAATGATGTTTTTTCTGACTTTGTCATTTCAGCATAAATTGGCTCATCACCGATGGCTCATCAGTTTCTCCTTTGGACAAAATGATCTGGCATCACATGAATATAAAAAACTCAAAGCTCTTCTGAAAGGCTCTCACATACAGGTTCTTGATTTATAATATTTTACTTTATTTATTTTGATGTCCCTGATTTTATTTAGATCACTCAAAATATAAAAGTCATTAAAACACAGGAGAAATTGTCCAAAAAGCACCATGTAGGTAATTCATATGACTTGCATGCAATATTGTTTTGAAGCTGTACGATATTTAGTTTTTCTTAACTCTAAACACAAGTTTCCTTGTCGTATTGGACTGCTTTAGTGTACTTTTGCCAATTTTTTGAGGCCAACATGAGAGCGAGTGAAACTACAGAACTTTTGCTTTTTTTAACATTGTTTTACACAGTACATGGGTCATATGACTTCTGGAATATGGTGCTGTTATGTTGGATTAATTGCGTTTATCTGTTTGCACAGGTGGGGAAGGTGGACTGTGTCGCAGATTCAGAGCTGTGTGCTTCTCTATATATACAGAAGCCCTGTGTGGCTGTTTTTAAAGGAGTTGGAACTCATGACTTTGAGATTCACCATGGTGAGTTTGTAAGGGCTTTAGTAAGACTTAGTATTTTGCATCTAAATAACAAAAAAAAAATGCTTTTTACCATCTGCATGAATTCTCAAATACAATGCATATTTATACTAATATATTATGTTGTCATAAAAATAGAATTGCATATGAAAAGGGCAGTAATATACGTTACCATTCAAATGTTTGGGGTTGATTGTTTTTTTTTAAGTATCTTCTGCTCAACAAGGCTGCATTTATTTGATAAAAATTCAATAAAAATAGTTAATTTTAAAATGTTATTACAATTTAAAAGAACAGTTTTCTGCTTTCTGAATTTTCTGCATCATTACTCCAGTCTTCGGTGTCACATGATCCTTCAGAAATCACTCTATGCTGATTTGCTGCTCAAGAAACATTTCTTATTATTTTCAATGTTGAAAACAGTTGTGCTGCTGAATGTTTTTGTGGAAATCATGATAACATGAAACCATGAAAGAGCAGCTATTATTTTAAATAGTTTTTTTTTTTTTGCAACA